ATGATAAAATCAGGCATTAATACAAAATATGGTGTGTATAGCACTAGAATGTTATAATAAAATCAGGCATTAATACAAAATATGGTGTGTATAGCACTAGAATGTTATGATAAAATCAGGCATTAATACAAAATATGGTGTGTATAGCACTAGAATGTTATGATAAAATAGCACTAGAATGTTATGATAAAATCAGACATTAATACAAAATATGGTGCGTATAGCACTAGAATGTTATGATAAAATCAGGCATTAATACAAAATATGCTGTGTATAGCACTAGAATGTTATGATAAAATCAGGCATTAATACAAAATATGGTGTGTATAGCACTAGAATGTTATGATAAAATCAGGCATTAATATAAATGTGGTGTGTATAGCACTAGACGCAGCAAAACTTTGCAGTGTTTCTTGAAAACTGCTGAATGGAAAAATTCAGCCACATTTTCAAAGTTTATGATAAAGACAATGACTTGTCAATTGAACAGTACAGACAGCTTTACTTAACAGACAACAAAATTCATAAAAATTTCTTATTTGTCTATCTTTAGAATTAGTATTTGTTCATGTGAATATTGTATCAGTTTACCAAAAGCTTGTTAGTTTCAGTTTCTATATTAGTACAGTATCTTACAAAAAAATAATTCAAAGCTTATATTGCTATTTTCAATTATCCTTAAATGGTAAAGAAGCAACTCTAAAATCTCTGTGGGGTCCACAAAAGGGGCTATGTGGTTGATAAAATGGAAAGATTAAACGAGACTTACCTTCGTAGAGGGGAAGTTGAAGTTTGATCAATATTTTATCAACCACAAGCCTCTTTTGGGATCACACACCCACCCAACCCAACCCAAGTTTATATTACATGTCTTGCTTCTTTGCCATTTTACCATATTTAGATCATATAACCAATATGATCTAAATACACTCTAAAGACTGATGAGTAAGCTCGCTGGTCAAGCTATGCGATCTCTGTGTGATCCCAAAAGAGGCTTGTGGTTGATAAAATATTGATCAAACTTCAACTTCCCCTCTACGAAGGTAAGTCTCGTTTAATCTTTCCATTATCCACTCTCCGCTATTCAGAAGGGGATTAAATAATACAAAAAAGTTAAAACAATAAATATAATGTGGGGAGCCCTGAATTCGAATCGATAACATCATCATCATCATTTGCCTCACTGACGATTTGCCCCAAAACGAGTCGCCCAATTTAATGACAATTTGCCCCAGTTTAAAACAATATTTTAAAACATCCTTTGAATTATCAAAATTAAGAAATGATAAGACCAAATGTTTATTTGGGTATATTAATGATATGAATTGTTCTCTGTGTCATTATATTAAAGAACACAAATTAATTATTTTAACTGTTTGTAGATATCAATAGTCAAAACAAAGTCAAATGAAAACAATTGGATATTTTTAAACATTCAAAGTTTATTTTATGTATTTGTCAAATTTCTTCAACATAGAATTTAAGAAAGCTTTAATTAAGAGATTATAAGAATGCATTGTGTAACGATTTATGTCAACCGGCATGGATACTTTTTGTAAAATACAAAACCATGGAATATTAGAGGGTAAAACATATCTAGCTAAGTGGACCCATTATGAGCACACATGCTTTTTGGGGGCTAACTGCCCCATGCACACCAATTTTAAGTGTCTTATAATTCAATGGAACTAGTATATTCACAAATCATAGACAATAGTACCTAACCTATATTCACCTTTTAGATATTGAAGACGTTATGTTGATATGTCATCTCTATGATTTTGAAAGAACTCAGACTCTCTTACTATCTTGTATATCTGAAAAAGTTATCAACTTTATAACTCTAAAAAAAAGTTTTTATACATGATTTTAGTGAGAATATTAATGATACTATTAAAGGGACTCCACTGAGGTTTTTTTTTTGACATGACAGGACTGGTGATATACTTTCCAAGATTAATTTTCTACTGGATGTAGTTCTAAACTTAGAACTTGTGTCTAAAATTTCAGATCATTCACTCGCTCCGTTTTTTCCAGATGCAACGCTTTCCGCTAAAATCAGGCAAACAATATCACAAAGATAAGATTTTCAATTTATTCCTTAGTATATTTCTTAATTTTTCTTTCTGTTTTAAATGTCCCAGATGATCTATGTAAGAAATTCAAATTTTATGTTTTTAGGCTTGCAGACCTCAGTGGAGTTCCTTTAATATGCTGTAGCATATCATTCAAAAGAATCTATGTTACATCTGGTTGAACTAAATATATAGTGGATCATTTAGCTTATTCACATTACGTCCTTAATTAATTTATTGTTGTCATTTAATATGCTTTGGTTTCATAATTGAATTTGCTAATCATAATCAAGCTTTATCATGTTTTAAAGGCACATTATGCCTAAAAACAAATTAATTTTTACTCCCTTAGAATTTTTATTACAATTAAATTTAGATAATGGTATAATACCATAATCTTAATTTATAGAGCATGTTAGAATTGCTAATGATACCTAAAAAAAAGTACATGTAGCTACTAATGAGAAATAATTTGTCACAAAAGTAATAAAATGTAAACAAAGAAGTATTTTAACCTCCATACATAATACAATAAATTAAATTGCTATAATTGTTCTAATTTTCAAAAAGCAACAAAAAAAGGATGGCTCAGGTAAATGGTCAACGAGTATCGCAGTGTTCAAAATTAGCAGTAGTCCTATAGCCCCTGACTACTAAATTTCTCCTCGGGCTACCAACTTTTCACAGTATACACAAGCCCGACCAGGCTACTGTATTTTCAGAAGCAATATCAACAACTGTTTTGAACAAATGAATTGTGCTAATGAAATGTCGTTTGGGCTAGTGAATATTCCAATCTGGTAGTCTGACCAGCCTAGTCATTACAAATCTTAATTTCTTACACTGGTATCGTTTTGAAAACTATAAAAGTACATGGAAAATAAAAAGCTTTTCAGAATTAAAATTAAAAGCATTCCTCAAACATAATGTGTCTTTAAATTCTGTACATCTTGCACTGTGTGATATCATTATTTTGTGATTATGATAATAATTATGCCTTTTAAGGCCCATATTGGAAATAAACTTTATTCTCATCTATTTCTTAATTTATCTGCCTCCGTGGTCGAGGGGTTAGAATCTATGATTTCTAATCCAGTTACCTCTCTGGCGTGGGTTCGATCCCCGGGAGATGCTTTGGTAGTTTAGCGCGGAGGAAGGTAGTCTGAGTACTGGTGTAACTCTCCAGGAACGATGGTTAGGAAACTACCCGCCTATATGACTGAAATACTGTTGGGAAAAGGCGTAAAAGGAAACAAACCAACAAACAAACAAATTTTCTTAATTCTATAATCAAAAATTAGTAATTACCAAATCCAAACTTTATGTTTAGTTCAAAGTCGGGCATCCCCCTTGCTTCATTGTGGTGTGTCGTTCCACTAGATTCACAGCTCAATGCACATCACAAAAAGATAGCTACCCAATCTCTTCTGTAGTTCTTTAACAACCTTATCGCGTGTGAGTTGCAAAGGTCCAAGGTGGCATTCCTTGCAATAGGTTTAATTATCAACTAAAATGTCAAACTCATTCACTTGTCTACCTTTTCTCCACCCACCTGATCCCGGTCTCTGCCGGTACTCATAAATTGGACATTTACCAAATCATTTTACACCAACAAGTGTTCAATATGTGCAAAAAATAATGGTCCACTTACTAAACTTACATTTGTTTACCGTTTGTTTTTGGTTTCAAAGCAACAATAAGGATCTACACTAAAATTTGGAATTCATGTTTTATGGCATTATTTATTATTTGTTGCTAATTGATTTATATGTTATGTCACAAGCAATTTTGTTGTTTTCATATTAAAGACCATTTAATTGCATTTCTATTAAAAATGGCTGGTTTCTTACTAATATCAATCCAAAACTTTTATTCTAGTTATGTTTTAAAATTACCCGTGTACCTTATTGTGTTAATTATTCCACATAAAAAATCAAACATGTAGACTAGCTGAAATACGGTGACAAATGAAGTATTATTGAAGATTTATAAATGCCTGTGCTTAACTATGACACAGTTCAAAATATCCGACAGACCCTTTATCTTTGCTGCCAACATCATCACAATCCTGAGAAAAATTTAATTGCTCATTTTTATATTTTCACTTTAAGTTATCATGTTCCATTTTTGAAAAAAATGCATGTATCGGTCATAAGCACTTGAGCATGTCGCGCATGGAGGAAGGGACACTCTGATTGGCCGATGATATTCTTCATCCTCAAATATTGGCAGATACCGAATCACTAATAGAACATCTGTAAGGGATTTAAAGTCTTCAGTGAAAATGCCTTCACATACTATCCCGCACATTTTAGTTTGGACGTTTTTGAAATAAGATGTCATCAAAAGATAAAATTTCACCAGAGGCTCCTACATTTATAAGCAGGGCCAAAATATGTGTGATTTTGACATTCTTTGGGAAAAGGGGTCTCAAATTTAACACAAACTTTTAACAAGTTCTTCAAAATAGAAAAGCAAAAAGCACTGGGAAATACTGATAAGGCAGTAAATTTAGACCTTAATTCAACACCATCATTTAATTTTGTTCCAAATTCTATGAGAAATTTCAAAAGACTGGGGAATTTCGAGGACCAAACTGGGGGAAAAAAGAGGCTGCCTATATTCGGCCTCTACAAAGTAGGGTTTTTTGGCCCTGATATGGAACTAGATGATTAATACAATTGTCTTGTCCAACAACTATCAATAATCAATCAGTATGTGAAATATGAAGACTTAGTTTTTAAAAGTTTTTAAGATAATCAGCAGAAACCATGTGGTCTACCGACAGTCAGACCAACTGACAAACCAACCAACATTAGCAAAACAATATACCCTCTTTTCTTCGAAGGAGGGCATAATAATAATAGCACTATAAATTATGAAGCAATTTTATATAAAAGATAATCACAAGAACAATTTTCTTACTTTCACATGTTGAAATGATAGCTGTAAAAATCCACGAACAAATTTTCAATACAGTCAAAACTATTCCTCCTGTCCTAGCACCCATCCTTTATTGAATATGGCTGTTTTAATTTGCGCCAGGAAACTGAAACAAATGTGTTTAAACATGTTACTGAAATAAAAACATTTTATAACAATAGAACATTAGTAAATCGCTCAAATGATGGCCTGCTCAGACTCACTGAGCTTGTGTATGTCCCAGTTTGTGACTGAATTATGAAATAGTGACGTAGTAAGACATTAAATTCCATGTATCTGATTAAATAATAGAATGACATTAAATAATATAAGGTGCAGTTTGTTTGTTTTTTAAGTATTAACAAGCATGATAGATATTAAATTTGCGAATGGCGAAGACACGATAATTGGCCAAATTATGTCTCAGACTGTCGGGGCGAAGACACGATGGCATGAAAACTCAATAAACTGGTCTATTATCAGGTGGTGGAGAAATGACAACTCGATAATTTGGCCAATTATCATATCCTCGTCTTTTAATTTTTAAGGCCAAGACACTTCAAATGCTTCAACTCGCAAACAGGATAATCCTCTAGAAGAAAAGTGTGTCTTCCCCTATTAAAATTTTGTTATTTTGCTATTTCATGTCAGCCCCTTCAAAAGTCAAAGACATGATAAGTTATTAAAGCGCCTTTGTCTCCGACTTTTGAGGGGCTACTTTTACACTGCTAAAATTTTGAATAACTTTGCACAAGTGTTAGTGATCATCTTTATCAGGCTTTATGCAGAGTGCAATACTTGGGTTGCTACTGCCAAGGTCAAGGTCACTCAGAAAGGTCAAGTGTTAATAAGGCTACATTTTGTGTCCGCTCCATGACTTAAACTGCTGCAAACAATTTTAAATAACTTGGTAGAAGTGATCACATGATGTGGAAAGCGCATTCACTGAGTTAATACCCAAAGGTCAAGGTCACACATTAAGGTCAATTGTTTAAAAGTCTACATTTCTTGTCAGCTCCATAACTTTAAAACCGCTTAAAAAAAATTTTATTAGCTTGGCAGAAGTGATCACCTTTATGAGACAATGTGCAGAGCTCAATAAATATGTTGCTACCCCAAAGGTCAAGGTCACACTCAAAGGTCAATTGTTAAAAAGTCTATATTTCCTGTTCACTCCATAAATTTTAAACCACTTAATTAAAAAGATTTGAAATAACTTATTATGAGAGGATGTGCAGAGCACACTAATTGTGTTGGTACCCCAAAGTCAAGGTCACACATCCAGGTTGCTAACTCCAAGGTCAAGGTAAAATGTTCTCCATCACTTTTTGACTTTATGGACGATTTAAAAAAATAAAAACTTGGCACATGACAAATACATGTAATTACTATCATGAGACTATGTGCTTATAATATACATGTACATGGCACAACATCAAAGTCATGGTCTGTTAAAGGTCAAATCAATTTCATGTCTGCTGCGGAAGGGAATTTAGCGGTCCTTTAGACTGCCTTTTTGGAAAACCTTAAACTTTTTATATAGTTGTCCTGGTCTAACATTTGTTTTATATAGTTCACAATATATTGCAATATGTCTGTGAATATTGCAATAGATACATAATCTAATACAATATCGTCGTGTGCCCTAAATTCATCGCTGTCCTAGAGTCAACACCCTTACTTATTTGATTTTTCCTTTGCACAACACAAGTAGATCTACATGTATTTTATACATCTGCTGTTGTAATAATCATTTGTATTATGACTGCTTATTTCACAAAGTATACCTCTAAATTCCTTCAGTGCTCACAATCCAGAAATTCTTGAAAAGAATTGCATTTTTTTATCCTGATTTATTTCCGCCATTACTTGTTCTGCGTCATAAATGATGACGTCACTTCTGATGAAATTTTCTTATAAAAACTCACTGGATTACCTGCCCTTTTCTCTGCGTTCCTCTGCGTTCAATAGTACTAAAATTATAGTACGACGGGAACCAGACTATCTCAAACGCAGTGATCTCTCCTTATAGGATTAATTAGATTCACGGTGTCAAGGGTATACGCATCATTTTTCCGCGTATCGCCGATAATTTATCATCCTGCGCGCCACACCGTATCATTCAAGATTATGCAATCTTCTGAAAAATAAGGTAGATTTCTAAATTCAAAAAAGCGAAAATTTCTTACTAAAATTGATTTTATTTAGAGAGTTTGCATACATCACGGAAGTTTTGAATGATTCATCTATGTGTGCAAAACATTTTGCAACAATATTTGTCTATCATAACTTGAAACTAATGAAAACAGTTAAAAAATATACAATAACATGTGAAACAATTGTATTTTTTTATGCGGACATTTTTCACTTTTCCGAAAGTACAGCTGTCGGAAGAAGTATCATATGTCAAATGATCACAAAATCACAAAAAGCATTGACCCGAGCTGATTATAGAAATGATGCAAAATAATATTGTAAACTCAAGAAAACTTTGATAAACATGGTACCGCATCATGCAGAACCATGGCACCGCTTCTTTTTGCGCAAGTTTTACATGTAGACTACTTTAAAATGTGTTTAACCGTTTGTTTAGTTGTTTGTTTGTTGTTGTTTTTTTTTTTTTTTTTTTTTTTGGGGGGGGGGGGGGGTATTGTTATTTTTTATTGCAGGATTGACGTTGGTTATCGGTTAGGGTAAGCGGGGCAGTGGATTACCTGCGCCTGGAAGCAGTCTGCACCTCTATAGTTTTTTTTAAAGATAATTTCGTTTTCGTAGTGCTCATGAAGTTGCGTTTTATGTCTGTTGTGAATTTGAACTTTTCTTTGGACTTGGGAATTGCATAATATTTGCAGATATCAGTAGAATCTAATTGAAATTTTACTCTCAAATTTGTTAATACAACACACAAGTAAGTCAAAGCTCATACAAAAAATGTATTTCTTAAATAGATCTAGTATTTCCTTTTTACATTTGAATTTTAGTTACTTAACTATAATTGACTGGGCACGTAACTTACGCATGTTACTGAATTTAAGAAAGGTGGCAACTATGTATGGTGGCTGATTTGGTACATTGCGCGTTGCGTACGTTGTCGATAGCGATGACGCAACCTAGCTAAATCGTTATCGCCTTTTCGTCTTGTCGCTAGCGACATTACGACAAAGCACCAAACGGTGCGTTGTCGCGCTGTCGTCTTGTCGCCCTGTCTCTAGCGTGGCGCGTTGTCGTGCGGCGTGTTGTCGCGATGTCACATTGTCGCTCGGTTCAAATTGAAGGATTGGCTTATAAGCCAGCGACAGGTCGACATCGCGCCGCACGACAACGCACAGTTTGGCGTGCCAGGCTAGAGACAGGACCACAAGACGACAGCGCGCCGTTTTGGCGATGCCAGAATTCCAAGTCCGCCGTTTCAGTCTAGAAGTCTTGGCTTCGATTCCTTACTCTCCGCATGTATTAAATTTTACTCAAATTCTTTAGTTATAACAATGTTTAATTTATAATCATTTCATTTACATGATAATCGACAAATATTAAATTGCACGGATTGATTAAGAAGCTTGATTTTTTTAGAAACTCTCCGTAAGCACTATCTCAAAGAGTATGTATAAAATTGTTATAATTATATATGCATATTTGTGTTAAATATACATAACATTTTCACTATAAACTTGCTTCTTTACATGCATAATAATAAAGTCAGCAATTTGTACTCAGGTTGTCCTAATCGAACCATTCTTAATAAAAAAGTAAAGACTCAGATTCTATCGAATGTGACCGTGTACCCATGTGTTTACGCCGGACACACAAAGAACCAGGTTTGCTTCTAGAGTTGACTAGTATTTATGCATTTTCCTCCGGTTTGTAAATAATTAATATAAATCTACATGCTTCGCCCAGATGGGCAACAATAAATAAATACAAATAAGATTATTCACCATTTGGTTAATCATCATGATGCGGTGCAAGTCTAGCGCTAATGTATACGGTGCCACAATTTTCGGTGCGGACCCATTATACGGTACCAAGAACTCGGTCAGTTGTCACGCTTTTATGACTTTTTTAAGAAATTAAACAGCTTAAATTTGTGTGCAATATATTTTGTATACATATCTTTGATGCTTACTGTTATATCAAAAAAATATTTTGATTAACAACATAATTTTCTCCTTTTAAATGTTTTCCAAATGATCATTTTCCCCAAGCCAGCTCTAGCTGTTTTCATTAAAACAAAGAAATCGTACAAGTCCAAATGAAGTCTTTGATAAGAAATAGGTGAAAACATAAGCTTCAATGATCATAATATTCCGTAGGCACACTTTTATGAATACACTTACTTCAAAAGTGTGACTTTCAGGTCGTTTTCCATCATGCATGTTGTGTTTAAGTGTTTGTTTTGTCTAAAATGATACGGTGCTGCGCGCAGGATGATAAATTATCGACGGTACGCGGAAGAATTATGCGTATACCCTTGACACCGTGAGATTACTGGCCGTAGCGTAACCGGTGCGCGGAGTTTGATAAAAACTAATTTAGGTAGGGATGTCACGGTACAGTAAGGAAAATAACTGCATATACTTTCCCAGTTACAGTATTGTTTTAAGGCGATTTAAAGTTTATATGCAAGTATGTTACGAATGTTGTTTACAGTTGAAGTTAAACAAGCGGGAACAATTCAAATGGAATCCACATGTAAAACTTCCGAGGAACTTGTGCCTCAATATGTTGATATATTCATCAGCGCCTTTAAATATGCATTTTTAAAAAAGTCGAATGTGTTGTTTTTTTTCTACCAAATTACATCGTATATTGCTTGAGTTAATTAATAGATAAAGCGTCAGTGTTTAAAAACCGCTTCCGCTAAATTTTAATGGGCAAGTTTCATTTCAAGCAGCCCAGATAGCATTCTATATGGGACCCATGTGGGGCCCATATGGGCACCTATATGGGTCCCATTTGGGCTGCCCATATGGGCCCCATATAGGAAGTGCAACCGGGTTCCAAATGGGTCCCATCTGGGCAGCCCTTATACTCAATATGGGATTCACATGGGCCCCAATCTGGGCAGCCCATGTACACAATATGGGCCCCACATGGGCCCCAATTGGGCAGCCCTTGTACTAAAATATGGATTTCAAAATGGGCAGCCCAGATACTTCCATTTTATGGGTAATTTTGAATTCCGGGGTAGAATCCTATTTTTCAATTACTTTCAAATTACTCAGTTTGCTATATAACATTTTATCATCCTCTCGCCAACCACAGTCATTTGCTAAAGAGCGAGGGCACTCAGCTGCACCTTGTATCAAGGGGCGAGCGTTAAATATTCCACTCTGATTTCTTTTTTAAGGCGATCATTCTTTTCCTGGAACAACAGATTATGGGTGAGCACGAAAGCCGTTTCTCAGTATATCATATACAAAAACAATACAAAAATGTATATGCTTTAAAAACAATGTAAACCTTTATTAAGTTAATCTCACTTTTTATGGTAAGTGTATATATACATATATATACCAGATTCTCAATACATTCTGTTGGACGCCTGATGTCAACAAAGAAACTTTTACTTATGTAAATAAACTTAGAAAAGTGTACAATATAAAAATCCGAGTAAACTGTACATATTTGTAAATCCACAGAATTTCATTTTCACTACATAGTTTTTAATTCAAAAATACAGAAATATTAATTATTATTCAAAAAGTCCTATGTAGTAAATATTACTTTGGTACACTAAATAAGCAACATGTAATAGAAAACTGTTTATAATGTACGAACAAAATAATTAAAAATGCAGTTTTATAACATTAGATACCTTACAGATCACTATAAGGAAAAATGAAACTTATGCTAGACACTGGTAAAACTTTACAGAAGGTCTTTGGAACTCCAAGAAATATATGTGTATAATGTTTTAAATTTCAGTGAATCAACAGTATGACCCCAAATGTCTTTTTTAACTTTCTACATAATTCATAGAAAAAGTATTATACATTTACTGTAATTCATTACAAATTTCTATCTACCAATTACTTTCATCTACATCAATTAATATAAAAAGTTGTTCATGACAACCATGTATTACACTTTGGTATGGTAGTGCTGAAGAAAAAAATGTTATGCATCTTGTGAAAAGTAACAAATATAATAAAACAAAACCTTGGCACAGTTGTAATACTGTTCATAGATGTGTAAACAAAATATTATGCAGCTGATGAAAAAAAATTAATATAATTAACAAAACCTGGGCACAGTTGTAATACTGTTCATAGATGTGTAAACAAAATATTATGCAGCTGATGAAAAAAAAATAATATAATTAACAAAACCTTGGCATGGTTGTAATACTGTTTATTGACGTGTGGACAAAATATGCAGCTAATGAAAAGTAACAAATATAATACACAAAAGGTTGGCACTGTTGTAATTGTCAACAAAATATGCAGCTAATGAAAAGTAACAAAAAGTAATACAAAAAAGGTTGGCACGGTTGTAATACTGTTTATATAGACGTGTTAACAAAATATGCAGCTAAAGTAACAAATATGATACACAAAAGGTTGGCACGGTTGTAATTCTGTTAATAGACGTGTAAACAAAATATGCAGCTTATGAAAAGTAACAAATATAATACACAAAATCTTGGCACATTGAAATACTGTTTATAGACATGTAAACAAAATATGCAGCTGATGAAAAGTAAAAAATAGTTTGTACAAGTTTGTAAAAATCAATAATAATTAAAATGTGATATTACACAAAGATCAAATTTGTTGTGAAGAAATTCATTAAAAAAATTGTCAGTAAAAATAGTTGGTTTCAGTAATTTCTCCGATATTATCAAAGTTTCAACAATAACAACAATAAAGATTACAAGAATCATCATTGTTTGTTTGTTTGTTTGTTTCAT